GTCACCACCTCAGAGATCGGGGTTCAAAAGGAAGAAGCCTTGGTCCCTCACCGCCTTCGTCTCGAGAACAAGAGGCTTCAAGGTGAGCTGAACACCATGGAGCTGAAAGCCATGGAGGCGCAGAGAGCCGCGGATGAATTCCAGAGATCGCTCAATTTGATCCTGGAAGAAAACTGCATGTCCAACCAGCTGCTTGCGCTGGCTGCGGCGCTTTTGAGAGCCTGTGTCCGAGAGATGGACAACCACCGAGCTGAGTGCCCTTTGCAGCGCGGAGTCCTGATTTGCAGGAGAGGCCGCCGCTTTTTTTTGACTGCAGAATGCAGCAGTCTAGCGGGCAGGGATGTCCGGATGCAGGATGAGTACTTCCACTGTGAACTTTGCAGTGGACGAATTCTGCCTCCCGACTACGTCACGGCACCAGCTCAGCCAGGAGGATACACCTTAAGGGTCTCCATCCAAAATTGGCTGCAGGCTCATGCCACGCGCTACGGCGCGATTGCTTCTCCCCCATGACAATTGCACGCTGTGCATTGCAGTCATGAAGTGGTTGAGTGTGTTTTTCCATGCTTCGACCGACCGTATCCTTCCGCTCAAGGGAGGGACTTGTGCGCTGAAAAGCGCTGCGGGTGGCGCGCGTTCGTGCGCCGTGCTTCGTTTGTTGCTGGACCTCGGTTGCCGGCCTTGCTACCTCAACACCTATACATTTTGTATGACCACTTTCAGCCTTATCGTTTTTTAACTCTTTATCGTTTTTCAATGTTTGGAACTCAGTATACAGTCTCTTGTCGTTTCCCAGCTAACCACACATGTCCCTGCCTCCACTGCAAAAAAGTCGGTGTCTGTTATGTGTGTGTGTGCGCGCGTGCATATGTTCAATGAAAATTTGACTGTTCAAAATGTCCTTCAAACAGACTCCAAACATCAAGGAAAGCCAGGAACTGAAGGAATTTGACCAGGAAAATCACTAAAATCAACTAGCTACTTTTTCTACACTTTTTCTCCTCTCCCCC